CGCTTACCCACACCCATGACAGCAGAGTTCCCATAAGGTGCTCGCTCAATCGCCATGGGAGTGTGTAAACGATTTTCTCACAAATGATACAGAGATGACGGTAACACCGCTCTAATGTCTGGGGACCACACTCAGTTGGCGCGAACCTACTAACGGCCACCAAGCATTAAAGCATGGTGTCGAGAAATTCACCTCCTAGTCAACTCACCAACAATTCACAGTAGCATTGGCAAGTCCACCAACGGCATGCAGCAGGCCTGGGCCAGACACTACCAAGCACACGGCAGGTTTCCTCGTCAGGTAGCCCATGGCCTGAGCTGCATAGCAAGCCTGAAGTGCATTTCTACATGAAACCATCTCCAAGAATGGATACAACCTTGACTGCTCGGACCGTCCTGAGCCTTATTCCTCACAGAAATTGAATACTTCTTTCATTCAACTTTTTTTAACGATTAATTAACTCTCTACAGACCCACTGTCACACTGTTCTAAAGCATCTGGTAGCCGTTTTACAACGGAACTCACCGCCTGCTCATTTATGCATCCAACGTATTTGATATCGAATGCTTGAGCAGCCACTCCAACCTCGATGATAGGAAAACCTACCACGCCGAACATATATTCCACGCCCTAGAATTAAATAGTAATAAAAAAAACACTAAGTTTGGCGTGAGAAAAACTAGTAACTGTGCTGTGTATAGAGAATTTTGATTTCATTTTGACAAGATTGGTACTTATTATTTACTAATCTGCAACTATTAGCAAAATCCCACAACAAAATTCCACAGCACTTGCTTTTTCTTAAATCGATTTCCGATCGCAAAATTGGCGGCGGGATCCCAACAGTCTCATCCGCTAGCTGATATAAGGCATATCAGCTGGTCAAGGTGATATCGATCGTTCCAATCAGCGACCGATGGAATCAACAGCGCAACGATAAACAAGCCGCTTTTAATGGGAAACTTTGAGAACGATGCGAAGCATTAATCAAGCACGATGGAACCTGTTACCCGAAACCTACTAAGATAGGCTGTGACAGTAAGCTTTTTGATAGCAGACTGCATCAAATTTTAATGGAAATCAGGTATCATATTAACACTTCGAACGGCTACATTCCAACTGTATCAAGTGAAAATCAGTAAAGTAAGTTCACGAACCTGTTCTTTGAGGCATTTTGCAAGAACACTGGCACCGTCCATGGCGCGTCGAATGGAAAAGTGTTTCGATTGACCTGATCTGATCGACTGCGCTGTAACCTTATCAGCAAAACGCCAGAGCACGTGTTTTTGTATACGAAACATTGGAGCTTGCGTCTTCAGTGTGCTCCATCCACCGAAATTCCGTTTTTTTCTGCACAAAAAATACTATTTCTCTAGATAGTTGGGAGTAAAAACGCGGGTATATCGACGAACTCACAATTTTGCTATTATACTGCTTCAAAATAAAAAACAGTGATGTTGTTAGTGCTATACATAAGTCTATTTGCGAAAAGTCATGATTCCTACAGTTGAAATTAATACACAAGCATTTCATCGGGTAAAAATGCAAATCAACACATCTTCGCTACATCATCTGCGCTCTCATCTTATTCAAGCAGAGGAACCCCATCCTCTCTGACTCAGAATTGTTTCGAGTAAAGAAATGAAGAATAAACCGTCGCCTTATTCTTCTTTACTACACCCTTAGGCTCTTGAGAGGCACGGCATAGTGGACTGGCCTTCACCAATCACGTATGTATTTACCTCGCATTGATAACTGTCAAGAGGAACATAATACAAAATTTAATCGAAAAGACGCGTATGAATTAGAAATATGAGCAAAACGTGAGGCGAAACATAATGTAGTAGAAAGTAATGAATGCGAAACATTTGTAAGAGGTGGTCCGCTTCATGATGTGTACTGCTAATTGGTGTGTGCTTTGTGCACTGCGCGAACCAGAAAATTCAGAGGAGCTAAAGATCGAAAGAAAGGAACCCAACGTCCACTCTGAGATTTGGGGCCGCTTCTTGTCATGTCATCGCTAACTCAGGACACAACATTTCTCTGACAAGGAAGGTCTTTCAGGGCGGACGCTTTTTGAAAAAGGTTTTTTGCATGGTGTAGGGGCATGAGCACTGAGTATATAACTATGGTCCATTTCCGCTAAATGACCTTCTGAATGCCAAAAAAGTGGTGAAAAAGATTTTGCCAGAAACTGCCGTTTTAACCCACTAAGCGTCGTTCGTTTCAGTCATGGCGTTGACTGTCCGCACAGTAGAGGGGGCCAGAGGAGGCGACATTGAAAATAATGTGAACAGTAGCCAAAAAAGTCACCCACATGTTGAAAAGTACGGGGAAATTTCATATAGGCTCTCCACGGATGAGCTGCCAGAGGCGACGGATGGTGTGGTGGATAGCGATGTGGACCTCGAGGACGGACAACTAGGATGGGATTTCTGTGGCTTTGCCCTTTTTGCATTTTATGCTGCCACCTCCAGATTGGCTCCATATTGCACCACGGCCAAAGCAAGTGCCTGACTGGTATGTAACCTCTACAAGTCGTTCGAATTTGATGTGTGGAGCACTATCAATGAAGGAGGCTTCACACTCCCAGGAGTATAAAGGTGCTTCTTAATTTCACACTATTTAAGTGTTGTAATGGGGGTCCAAACCCTACAACATGGTACCTATTCAGTGGAAGCTGTCCTCAACGCAAAGACAACAGGATTCCCGATTCCGACCTTCCTCTGGGCGTCCACCGCGGTCTCCTGTGGGAAAACGAATCAGATCACTTTCAACACGTCTTCTTGCTGAAGCATCCATGAGCATTAGGCTTGATATAAAAAGCTGTCACCCCTGAAGGAAACCATTCAAGCGCTTCAGAGCTGAGCGGATGTAAGCAATTACTATCTCTACTACGAGAGATGAGGGAAGCAACAGCCTGATTCATTATAACGCCAAGATTTTCAGGAAAAGCTTGTTGTCCCGATTTTAATTACCAGTGGTATCCAGCTTTTGAGGAGCATAAGAAGATTATGTGATCCAACAGATTAATTTTGGTCTAAAATGTTGAACGCATCTCAACACAAGTGGAAAGCACCATACCAGAAATAGTGTCCAAATCGTGAGTACCAATAGCAACCAGAGTTCGCTTACGGCAAATATTCTGATGAAGTTTGTCCTTAAAATGCAATTCAATTCACAATATTATCACTGATTCGTTGCTCAAAAAAAAAGCGCAAGACCTGCAAGTCAATGAAGGAAGCATAGTTATCAGCGTCGAACGAAACATTACGAAGAATAGCGCCGACCACGAAAGGACGCACTGCAGCTGTCTTGAAATTGAAGAAAATAAGCAACGCTAATGGGTTAGTTCTAACTCTAACAAGGGTGCTAATAAAAACAAAACCATTCCATTTGTCTCTAAGACTAGTCTTGAAATTTTATTTCGGTATGACTGCCTAATTTCTTATGTGGTTGGGAAAGTTTTGTGGTGGCCCTCGACTTCTATGAAATTCGTACTTTGTAATACAATAGCCTCGACGCATTACCAGAAAATGCCAAAGTTTCCATTATTCAGTGTTCGTAAGAAATTGAAANTTCAGGATTCAAATTATCTGTCAAACATCACTAATCAGAAAATCTCACACCCTTAAATTCATAATAATAACTACGTTTCTATATAAGAGTACATACGAAAAAAGGTTGGAATTCAATGAGTGGCACTATCAGAGATGAATACAATGTTTCTGTCAAATGGTCATTAAATAATGTTTATCTCGAAGAACTTACTCGTTTTTGAAAACACGCAAGGCTCTAGTCAGCCCTCCTACGCATAACAAGTCATATCTGTTCGCTGGTATGTCGACTTTGTATACCTCCGAATCACAAAGCTCATCACCAGCAGCCGCCTCACCTCGTTCTTTCTCTACTGCAGCCTTTTCGGACGTCTAGACAATACTAATTAGCAACAATTCCGCTATGAGTATATACTACTCACCACTTCATCCAGTTCAAGTCCATATTCAAAGCAAAGCTCGTCGAATTCCTTCTCACCTAAATCATTTAGAAAATTAGCCAGAGGATAAAAAAATTGAAAAAACTCAAAACTTACTATAGACTTTTCCGAGATGCTTATCAAGAAGTACCTTCTTAATGCCTACGGTTGGCATTTTGCTATAACACTTAAAGGAAAGGGAAAGTAAGAAAAACGGCGAAAGCTCTCCAAGATTCGCGTCAATTACAATGTATCGTGCAAATCACGTACAAAACGGCTTCAACACGACTAGACTTGCGGTATTGCAGTTTGGAGGCTTTGTGCTGCCCGACATTTCTACAGTACCCCAAGATTTACCCCACGTTTTACTATGGTAATTCACGAACAAACAAAGAAAGGGTCCCAGTGTGATGAGTGAGGTCATGTAAGGCGTAGGCCTCGCAAACCAATAAAGACAAATAACCGTATAAAATGGCCTATCCCAGATCCCATAGTCGCTAGACCACGCATGTCCACCACTTCTCGCCATGAATGGTTCCCAACTGTGCCAGTTGTACGTCTTTTGCCCCTTCGTGAATTTAGGCTTGAGCAAACACTCATCCAAAACGCCACTGGCGATCTTGAGTAGAGATCCAGTACATGGCGCAATCCTTCGAATCTTTCGATGACGTTGCCTTTTGAGCCTTAGTTTTTCACATGCAAAAGGTGGAGTGAATTAGAGTCCATCAGAAAAGATCTTGAAGTTGAGTAGAACACGAAAGCAGAGCTTGATTTCGGTAATAAACAAACCTTCAAGGTTAATTTAACTGTTGATGAAGTATATACAAATCCTAAAAAGAGCAAGGATGTCAAGGAATTCCCAAAAGCTGGACCCCATCAAAGTTAAATCACTTCCATTTCTTACTTTCTATTAGGCCACGTCTGAATACTCATCCGAAAACTCATAAGAAAGGCCAGGATAGAATTCTTTCCCACGCGAATGTATCGGTCACCTCGAGAATAGGTTCTAATTCGCCGATGCACTGCGCATCCTGTCGATTTCATGGGCAAGTACTGCGAAACAATGAGCTAAGGTCTGACGATCAGAAGTGACTTTGGT